TTTACACAACTAGACTAGATGATCAATAAAACGTCACACTGGCTGGGTAAATTAAGACACCCAGGTGGGGAATGACAACAGTCAAGGCAGATCACAGGAAGGCCCTGCAGGTGGCTTAACACCTCTCAGAAGGCCCTCCACCTCGCAGACTGAAGATGTGAGAGCAGAGCCTAGAGGGAGATGGACAAACACTCTCACCTCATCAATCTCCAACTGTATTGACTTCATGTGTCTCCTCATCACATAAGAGACCACAGAAACACCTGAGAGGCTACAGTTTACAGTCATCTGTGAAACCCTCGCTCCTCCCAGATTGTCCTTTGCCAAAAGTTACCATCAGGCCAAAGGATCTGCACGTGGACAACTTCTTCCATGTAACCTGTATCAAGAAGAATGACTTTTGGGGCACCTGGGTGGCGCAGTCGGTTAAGCATCCGACTTCAGCCAGGTCACGATCTCGCGGTCCGTGGGTTCGAGCCCCGCGTCGGGCTCTGGGCTGATGGCTCAGAGCCTGGAGCCTGTTTCTGATCCTGTGTCTCCCTCTCTCTCTCTGCCCCTCCCTGGTTCATGCTCTGTCTCTCTCTGTCCCAAAAAAAATAAATAAACGTTGAAAAAAAAAAATTAAAAAAAAAAAAAGAATGACTTTTCTGATTTTTTTTTATTGTCCTACATGCTTTGGCCTTAATCGTGCCAAGAAAAAAAGAGAAAATAGGCAAGGGAAGGGAGAAATGGTCAAAAGGATAGTTCAAAAAGAAAAACAGCAAGGGAAGAACTTTGATCAGACTAGTATTACAAGAATTTTCTAGGCACTGCAGGAGACCTTAAGACGTGTTACTAGGCTGAAAACAGTCATCCACCGCCATCTCCTGCTCCCCATCCCATTCCCAACTGGCACATTAACTGTTCCAGAAGGCCAAGGCTACCACCTCAGATTTCTGTAGCACCCAATTCCATCATGAAAGCAAACCCTGACACCGAGGTTGGAGCCTTTGCTACCATCAGAGAAATCTGACAATCTCTGTAACATCAATTACCAGTTTAGGAAGACAAATCAGCTTTGTTCTTCTGTCTCTTCTCTTCCTATCATGTAAACTTAGGGTTTGGGCATGGAGAAACTTTCTATGCTGCCAGTGATGTCAAAACTCTGAAACACAAGTTTAACCAATGCTGCACACACAGTTGTTTTAATTCTTAATTAGCTATCGCTTCCCCATTAAGAATAAAAAACAACTATTTATACCAACGTGGAAAACAAATTCTAAAATAAATCCAGAGAATGAATCATAATTCACAAGGCCAAAATTAAAAAATGAATGGAAACCAACAACAGGAAGATGAACCAAAATTCAAGTCAATAATGGTGAAGACACGTGCTATAGGTAATTAAAATTGCCAGACTCTGCTTGGCAGAAAATTTAAGACCTAAGAGGTCAGAAGCTAAAGAACCAAATGGATGTACCATCTAGCCCCCCTCACTGTATCATGTACAAATGTCCTAACTTTTGATGAGTCAATAGTCCAATTCTGCAGATAACAGTGAATGCTTTTTTATTTCAAGTGTTCTCGTAGAACTATTTCTAAATAAGTGCTGAAGTAAACAAAGTTTGAGCAGAGCTCAGTTAAGAAATAAAAGTCCTTCCAGTAAATGCTCCTCCACAGCTGGATGGCTGCTTTAATATGCAATTGCCCTAGGCCACAGGGATTAAAAGAAAAAAAAAAAAAAATCAGGCTTTTGATTTACTTAAGAAATAAAATAAATAAACCCATAACATGCAAAGGTTCCCGCTCCCAAATTAAGGACAGAAAATGGTTAGATGGCTTTTCTGTAAAACACACCTCTTTCTCTGAGTAAATTTCCTGAACCCCACTCCCAACATAAGCTCACTAAAGAAAAAGCTTGAGAAAAGGTAAAGGTAATAATTTCTCAGGTAATAAGACCAAAAATCCAATCGTATCAGTCAGTTCCTGGCACTCTTTTCTCACTCTACCAAATCAGGTCACTCACAAGGCTTGGGGAATGTCAGGGCCCACCCACAGACTCCTTGTACACCACTGAGTCCCCCACCCCCACCCCGCCCCCCCTCCAGCATGGATCTGCCCGGAGGCATTCAGCTCCGGTGGCTGGGAGCTGCCTGCAACACCAGAGGGCAGAAATCTGAGTGACACTTGGCACTCTCTCTTTCAACAAACAACCGCAACGGGCTTTCCAAACTCAGGCCTTAATTATTTTGAAGACCAGGAAGCCAGAGCCTTCCTGGGGCAGAGGTGAAAAGAAATAAGCCCACCCTCCCAAAGGTCACACAGCAAACCCGAAGCCATTAGGGAAGGCAAGACCGCAGCCTTGGGTTGCAAGTCTGCAGCCCCAGAGCAGTAAACACCAAATGTGGCCATAACCCCTGGTGGGACTGGGGAGAACTTGAGAACCAGCATTTCCCCAGCCAGAGGTAAAACAAAAATTAGACTGTCATGGGGGGGGGGGGGGGGCAAAAAAGCACACTTGTAAGTTCTCCCAAGGGGGTGCTGGCTTGGAGGTGGAGGTGGGGAAAGGGTACAACCGTCTCTTTACAATAGCTCAGAGAAGGAGGAAGGGAAAGTAGGAGGGGGAAAAAAAAAAAAAAAACCTGTGAGCTGCTGCACTCTCCTGTTCTGAAGGACACAAAGCTGCAAAGCCCAGGGATCTGAAGCGGCTAGGGAGTGAGACAGGAGTGAGAAAAATAAAGGTGCGGGGGAGGGTAACGGAAAGAGACCTGCCCCCTCACCACCACGAACCTTGGCAGAAGTAGGGGAAATGGGGCAGACATTCCCAGACTCCGGAGAGCAACAACCAGCCAACCACCCCCCATCTAGTCTACCCAGGTCTCACAGGATCCTTGGGGATAAAACCCTGAGGGTCGGGGTGCTGAGTGAATCTTCGGTCTAAACCGCAGTCTAGAGAACCCTGGATCCAACCTAGCCCCTTCCCCTCCAAAGCTGAGTACTGGAGGCTAGAGGAAGACAAGACTGAAACGGGGAGCACTCAGTGGGGATGGGTGGGTCAAGGGTGGGGAGCTGGGAAAAAAGCAAGCCTGACAGGAACCAAACGGGAAGAGAAGGCGCGTGGCAGGACACAAGGGGAAAGAACAGGTGAGAAAAGTCAAGGTAGAACAGAATCGGGAAGCGGGCATCAAAAGAGAGGGAGAATCCATCCAACCACTGACATGGCTCCAAGAGGGAGCTGGGGGGTGGGGAGGCAGCCGATGATCAGAAAGAATGGTTGAGAAGACATCTCTACCACTGGGCAGAACTGGGGGAAGAACTCAAGAAGGAGGTAAAAAGCAGGACAAAGGAGAGAGAATACATGAAAGGAGAAATTGGAGGTCGAGGCCGGAATCAAAATGGTGGGGGGAAGAGGAGGTCAGGTGGAAAACTTAAGTATTGAGAGGCAACACGGGTGGGAGGCACTTACAGAGAGACCAGGATTAAAGAGAACCACTCCAAGAGGGGAGCAGCAATAGGAAAGTTAAAATGAGTCAAAGAAAAAAAAAAAAAAAAAAGGGGGGGGGGCAAGTGGACAGCTCCAAAAGGGGCAGAGCTGGGAGGAAAACGTTACAGCGGATGGGGCAGAACTGAAAGAGCAGGTGCAAAAAGGATTCGGGGCAGGCCTGCGAGATGCAGCAGAATGGGAAGGAAAGAGGGTGATGGATCAGAGAAGTTATCAAAGACTTAGGGAGGTAAACGGCAAGTCTCAGAAGGGCCAAAATGGAGAGAGGAGAGGACTCAGAGCGAAGAGGAGGCTGGAAGCAGGTCTCAAGCAGAGAAGAACTGAAGGGGAAACAGGTCGAAGAAAGACGGAGCGAATGAACGAGACAGCTCAGCAGTGCCAAGGAGGAGGTGGGGTGGAAAGGAAACCGCAGGAACGCCGGACAGAACTGGGGCCTGCAGGGCAGCACCGAGGCTGCGGACAGGCTGAGTTAGAGAGGTCAGAGAAATGAATGGCAGAACCGAGAGCTGCAGGGTCCCAGAAGGGGGAGGAGGCTGCTTCGTGGAAGGCAGAGTCGGGGAAAGCGAGCAGGTAAGAGGGCACAGCAAGATCTGAGATTGGGCAAAGGGCAGATCGGGAAGGTAGAAAGGTCTGGAAGAGTGGGGAAAAGGCGGGGGGGGGGGGGGGGGGCCCCTCTGAACGGCAAATGGGAGCCAGATCTGCGAAGGGGAAGAGGCAAGCATGGTGCATCCCAGTCCGAGAGGGGGCAGGGGACTGAACTGAGGCATGGAAGGGTCGGAGAGGCAAGGGGCATCCGGGAGATGCACGGGGTTCCGCGAGTGGGCAGTAGGGCCCAAGGAGGTGGAATTAAGTCCAAGGAGAAGACCTAGGGTCAGCAGTGCCAAGACGAACAAGGTCTCAGATGGATCTGGAAGGAGGTGGAACTGCAGGTCTTAGAGGGACAGTTCCTGGGGGTGCAAGAGAGGACGGGTAACAGGAGACGGGTCAAAGAAGGGAACAGATCAAGGGTGGTGTGAGTGGAATCGAAGAAGGAGCAGGACGGACACGAATCTCAAAGTGAAGGTCCAGAATTAAGGGATGCAGAAATGCAGAAGGGTCACTGAGGAGGTGGGTCGCTAGAGGACCGCAGAGTCCAGGGGGGGCGAAGGGCACTACTGACGGGCGGAAAAGGGAAGGGGGAGGCGCAGAATTGGGAGAAGAGTGGCTTAAGTGAGGAGGGGGTGGCCGAGGCGGGCACCGAGATCCCAAATGGGTCGGAAGGTGGGGGCAGACGCGGGGACAGCAGGGCTGGGGCGAGCAGGGGCAGGTCCGAAGGGCAAGCGGGCCCCGTGGGCCGGGCCGCTGCGCGAAGCAGCGGGGCCGGCGGGGCCCGGGGGGCTGGGGGGCCGCTCCCTCCCCTCCCCCTCCGGCTCCTCCATTGTTCGCGGGCTCCGGGCCCCGCCGTCCCCGCCTCCCCTTGGACCCCGCAGCGGGGCGGCGCCCGGCCTCGCCGCCGGGGCCCGCGAGCTCGCGCACTCACCAGCTGGGCGCCCTCAGCGCGGCTCCGGCCTCCAGGATCCCAGCAGAGGCGACGGCGGCCCCGGCGCCATGTTCTGCTGCTCCTCGTCCAGCGGCGGCTGAGGCGGCGGCGGCGGCGGCGGCGGCTCCGGCGGCGGGGGGCCGGGCGGACCCTCCCTCGCGGGCTCCCTCCTCCGCCTCCTCCACCTCCTCCTCCCGCCGCGCCGCGGCTCTCCCTCGGGGCGGGGGGGCGGGGAGGGGAAGGGGGGAGGGGCGGGAACCAGGGGGAGGGCGGACCAGCCTCGCTCGCTCGCTCCCTCCCTCCCTCGCAATGGCGGCGGCGGCGCCTCCTTCCTGCGGCCGCCGCTCCCGCCGCGCGCGCCCCTCGCCAAATGCGCGTGCGTGGCACGCGGACCGTTGCAGGAGGATAACGGCCCCTGGGCGCGCGCCGCAAGGGGATAACCGGCGCCAGGCAGGAGATGAGGCGAGGGCGTCTACGCACCCGTGGGGCTCTGTGCCACTACCGCGGCCTCTGGCTGGGAACGGGCGCGGAGGCCATAGTGCGCGTGCGCCCCAAAGAAATGCCGCTACTGCGGTGGCTGCGACGCGAGACGGCACCAGGCAGCCTGCGACCGGGCTGAGGGAACGGGGTGGGCAAGTGCGCGTGCGCGGGAGGGGCTGCCTAGCGCGAGACGGAGGGAGTGGCCCGCGGGAGTCGCGCGCGGCCTTGCGCGCGCCAGAAGCAGCCGATCCCCTCCTTGCGGGGGCTCGTGGAGAAAGCAGGAGGGGAGAGACATGGCCCGGCTTTGGGGGCGGGGGCGAAGGGCGCGATCCCGCTCGCGCGGGACCTGACCAGCCAATGGGAGGCAAGGGGAGGTGGGTTTGCCGCGCAAGCCTCAGCCCCTGGAATAACGGAGGAGGAGAGAGGGAGCGACGTAACGTGGGGCAGCGGGGAGGGGCTGAGGAGCAGAGAGGACACCCAGCGAGGGAGTTGATTGGGGAACACGAGGAGGCGTGGCCCGCCTCACCCCAATCCAGGCCGGGCAATTTGTCGTTCCGGAAGAAGGGGCAGGGCTGGGGAGCGCGTGCTCCTTCCCTCGGCGGTGATGAAAATCTGCAGGCAACGCGCTGGTGGATACGAATTGCTTGGGATTCTGTGTTCGACCGATGCCCGGGAGAGGGACGAGGGTACGCTCCTGCGTACAGCCCTGACCTCCAAGTCAGCGTTGTGCAAATGACTGCAAATCAAATGTCAGTTCCGGCCCGTGGAGGGTAACAGTAGTGATGGGAAGGGGGCACTGCGGTAACCCTTGAGTTTTTCTGAACCGAGGAGGGGTTCCTCTGGGATCCCTCCGGAAGTACGCGTCGTGGAAGATGAGCGTTCTGGGCATCCAGTCAGTATTTACGGAATGCATGAAGAAAGGCTGTTTCCTATTGCATTTTGCGTTTCTTTCTTCAGTCTCTTCGTCTACAAAATGGAATAATAATCGTACCTCCCTCATGGGGTTGCTGAGAGAATTAAATGAGCTGTATCGGTTAAGTACTAAAAACTACTGCTTTGCAAACGTTGATAAACAAAATTACATGCACTCAAGTTTTAAAACATCCCATTAAATAAAGGTTTTTTTGATTACCGATCAGAGTCGTTTCCCTCGACTTTTTTTAACTTGGCATTTTTATGCATATAATCTGATTTTTAGATGTGCATTACTTTCCTTTCATTTTGTTTTGTTTTTCCGAGTTTGTTTAACCAGTCAAGTGCGTGGCCCAGGTTTTCTTTAGGCTGTCATCGCGAACCTTGGTTCCTAAATTATTTTGAGATCACTTGAGGGAACACCGGATCCCCCCACCTCAAATTACTTAATACGTCTTTTTAACTCCCAATGCGATGTTCCAGGTCGTTCCATTCTTGGAAAGACTGTGAACTGACAGCACCCAGAATAGAGAAGACTGGGTTCACTCTGGACCTAGATGTCCTTCTCTCTGTCTTTTGGAGCCTGTCAATTCTACCTTTGTGCTTCGACTCTCAGCTTAAAACCACTTCCTCAGAGCAGCCTCCCAGATTTGGTCTGACTCATCCTTTGATGAAAACAGGTACTTTATGCTAGGTGACATTGTGTTAAACATTTTTTTTAATTTATCTAGAGAGAGAGAGGGCACCAGCGAGGGAAGGACAGAGAGAGAGAATCCCAAGCAGGCTCTGCACTATCAGCACAGAACCGTGAGATCATGACCTGCGACTAAACCAAGAGTCGGACGCTTAACTGACTGAGCCACCCAGGTACCCTATACTAGGTGATATTCTAAAGCACGTTAAGGGGCGCCTGGGTGGCGCAGTCGGTTAAGCGTCCGACTTCAGCCAGGTCACGATCTCGCAGTCCGTGAGTTCGAGCCCCGCGTGGGGGTCTGGGCTGATGGCTCAGAGCCTGGAGCCTGGAGCCTGTTTCAGATTCTGTGTCTCCCTCTCTCTCTGCCCCTCCCCCGTTCATGTTCTGTCTCTCTCTGTCCCAAAAATAAATAAAAACGTTGAAAAGAAAAAATTAAAAAAATAAATAAATAAAGCACGTTAAACATATGAACCCACCTAATCCTCAATATTTTATGAGTAGGTTATACAGTAAAACTTTGGTTTGCAAGCATAATTCATTCAGGAAACATGTTTGTAATCCAAAGCATGTATCAAAGCAAATTTCAAGAACCACTGGCTCAGTTGTGATCATGTGACGTTCAGTATCACATACTACTCACTCGTATTGCAAGACATCGCTCGTTTATCAAGTTAAAATTAGAAATGTTTGCTTGTCTTGCGGAACACTTGCAGAACAAGTTACTCACAATAAAAGGTTTTACGTAGGTGTCATTGTTGTACTAAGCCAAGACCCAGGAAGGTTATACAGCTAGTAAGTGGCAGACTTGAGATTCAAACCCAGATAATGGGGATCAGATGACTACAACTTATTACTTCTTTATAGCACTCCACCAGGGCTTGAAGTTCTGTATTGGCATCACCATTTTATGTGTGAGCCCTTTGAAGGCAGGGGCTCTGTCTGGCTAGTTCTGCAGTCTGGCAAATGGCCCACAATAAATACTAGTTAATAAATAAATGAATGAATCCCATGCTAAACAAAGGGGATGGCCGAAAAGACACAGTCCTGTCTAAGGACTAACTCTTACCCCTTTTTCAGACGCTAGCTCATATGACCCCCTCTTCCAGGAGGCTCTCCCTAAGACGCAGGCTTGGTCTGGTGCTTCCTCTAGCTTCTCACAGCCCCGTTGGGCCCTTCATCCAATCCCTGACCACCCTGGGTTGTCCCTGCCTGGTAACAGGTCTTTGTCTTCCATCAGACTGTGAACCCCCTGAGGGCAGGGCCAGGGCTATCTCAGTCACTGTCGACGTCTCCAGCACAGGTCCCAGCACAAGGCAGGGTCTCAGGCAGTGTTTTCCTTGAATGAACAATTGAACTATCAAGGAGGGTCTTCCCAGCTCCGCAATTCTTCCTTCCAGTTTGCCAGAGGGCCGGTGTTAGCAAGCCAACCACAGGAAGCAGGCTTCCCTGGGGGCAGCCGCCCCCTCACTGCCCTGCTAGCCTCCGCTCCAGGATAAATAAACAACCGAGTAAACAATTAGCTGACAGAGAGAGAAGTACCAACTGCTGGCCTGGGCCGCTGCCGAGATTTCCCAAGCATCTCCCAGAGGGGCTCCGAGGACTAGAACTCAGACCAGCCAGGGAGCCGGAGTAGGTACGAGGCAGGCGGAGCCCGGGGTTCTGGACCCCGCTCGTAGAGATACACAGCCAGAAAAATCCACTAAAGAGTTTTGCAAAGAGGTGAATGTGCTGGCGTATATTCTCTGTACATTCCTCAGAGTCTAAAAAAATCAGACAGAGGGCGGGGACCGGGTCTGCGATTGACTAAGAAGTCAGTGAGCTCACAGCGCCTCCTACAAACCGAACGGAGGAAGCTGCCGCCAGCTGATGCCGCCGGGAGGACAGAGAGCGGTGAACTCTTTCGCCATTGGTCGGCAGGGCAGCCAATCACGAGGAAGGAACGGGAGGCGGGGATGCTCGGATCCCCGCTCGGATTCACTGCTGGATCCCGTCTCCAGGCCAGCGGTTGAAACGAATTGGTCACGCACTTAAAGGCTCATGGAAGGATGGATAATGAAAGAACCTCTCAATTTCTACAGACTTCAAAAATGGAAATATAACATAGATACGGAGAAGTCCACAAATCACAAGGGTACATACAGCTCCATGAGTAATTCACAAGGAACACACCCCCTGTGGGGCGTATGGGTGGCTCAGTCCCTTGAGAGGCCAACTCCTGATTCCGGCTCAGGTCCTGATGTCGAGGTGGGTTAGAGTCCCGCGTCTCCGCTCATCACATTGCGGAACCTGCTTTGGATCCTCTGTCTCCCTCTCTCTGCCCCTCCTCTGCTCACGCTTGCTCTCTTTCTCTCTCAAAAACAAATAAACGTTAAAAAATGAAAATACACCCCTGTAACGTTCACCCAGGTAAACAGAATGTGACCAATCTCTCAGAAGCCTCCTGGTGACCCCTTCCAGTCACTCCCTCCCACGAGGAAAATCTTTATCCTGATTTCTATGGCCATAGATCAGTTTCGCCCGTTTTTACACTTTATAAAAACGGAATTATGCAACAAGTGGCCTCTTTTAATCAACCTTGTGAGATTCCTCCAGGATACTGTGTGTACTTATCGATCGTTCATTCTCAATGCTGTGTAGTATTCCACCATGTGGATGAAATACGATGTATGTAGCCATTCTATTGTCGTGAGCATCTAGGTAATTTCCACTTGGGGCTATTATGGGTAGTGCTGCTGTGACAGTCTAGAATACGTCTTTTGGTAAACATACGTATTCATTCCTGCTAGGTATGTACCCAAATGAAATTGCTGGTTACAGGGCGGGCATGTACTCACCTTCCCCAAAGTGAATGTACCAGTTTCCATCCCAGGAGTCAGGTGTAAGAATTTCAGCTGTCCCACCTTTTCCGTCTATTTAATTTAATTTTGGCCATTCTAATGGTTGTTCAATCGTATCCTTTTTAGTCTTAATTTGTCTTCCTCAGTGATTTATGAGGTTGGGCGTCTTTTCATAGGTATAAAGTCCATTTGAATAGCATCTTTGGTGAAGTGCTGTTCAAATATTTTGCCCATAGTTATATATCATAGATATGTTATATAACATATATTATATATATATATATAATATAACATATAATATATATAATACATAACAATGGGCAAAGTATATGTTATATAATATATATTATATGTTATATAATGTATATTATGTTATATAATATATATTAAATGTTATATAATATATATTGTATGTTACATAATATATGTTATATAATATATGTTATATGTTATATAATATATATATTATATTGCCCACTGTTATATATTATTTTCTTTAATTATTTAAAATTATGCAATACTACATGAATTTCTTGTCCTTGCAAAAAAATTAAAATACTCTAGATTAGGGGCGCCTGCCTGGGTGGCTCAGTTAGTTGAACTTCAGACTTCAGCTCAAGTCTGATCTCATGGTTCATGAGTTCAAGACCTGCCTCAGGCTCTGTGTGGATGACTCAGAGCCCAGAGCCTGCTTTGTATTCTGTGTCTCCTTTTCTCTGCACTCCCCTCCTCCCCCCCTTAAAAATAAAGAAATATTTTTTAAAAACCTCTAGATAATATTCAGTTTCCATGGAGAATCTAAACCCATCCCACTTACCTCTCCAGAAATGTGTTTGTTTTGTTTTGTTTTTCCCCCAGATCTCTCTACACGCTTACATGAACGTAGCATAGTATAGTGGCTTGAGGCATTGACTCTGGAGCTGGAAAGCCTGGACTAGAATCTCAACCCCACCATTTACACTAGCTGTGTGACATTGGGCAAGTTACTCAACTTCTCCGTACCTCAATTTCCTCATCTTTAAAATGGAGTTGATAATATTAATACCTACTGCACGGGGTTCTTTTGAGGTTTCAATAAGCGAATCGCTTAGAAAAATACCTGGAACAGGGGTGCTTGGGTGGCTCCGTCAGTTAAGCGTCCAACTCTTGATCTCAGCTCTTTTTTTTTTTTTTCCAACGTTTATTTATTTTTGGGATAGAGAGAGACAGAGCATGAACGGGGGAGGGGCAGAGAGAGAGGGAGACACGGAATCGGAAACAGGCTCCAGGCTCTGAGCCATCAGCCCAGAGCCTGACGCGGGGCTCGAACTCACGGAGCGCGAGATCGTGACCTGGCTGAAGTCGGACGCTTAACCGACTGCGCCACCCAGGCGCCCCTCAGCTCAGGTCTTAATCTCAGGGCCATGAGATCAAGGGCTGGCTCTGTGCTGGGCATGAAGCCTGCTAAAAGAAAGAGAGAGAACTACTTTCTGTCTCTATACATTTGCCTGTTCTAGGTACCTCATGTAAATGAAACCACACATTTGTCCATTTGTGTCTGGTTTATTTCACCCAGCATGATGGTTTCAAGTTTCCTCCACGTTGGTTGGGGGCGTGTATCAGGATTTCATTCCTTTTTAAGGTTGAGTAATGTTTCAGTGTATATATTACATCTTGTTTATCTATTTACTGGACATTTGGATTTGGGGCTATCGTGAATTGTGTTGCTAGGACCATTGATGCACAGGTATTTGAACCCCCTTTTCAGTCATTTGGAATATCTACTTAGACATAAAGTTGCCGTATCACGTAGTAATTCTACATTTAACTTTTTTGTGGAACTGCAAAACTGTTTCCCACAGGGCCTGCACGATTTTACATTCGCAATGTGCGAGGGTTCCAGTTTTCCGACATCCTTGCCAACCCTTGTCATTATTGTTTTGGCGGTGGTTGTTTTCTTTTGTTTTTGATAATAGCCATCCTAATGGTTGTGAGGTGGTATCTCGCTGTGGTTTCCATTTGCATATCCCTGAAGACTAGTGATGTTGAGCATATTTTCCTAGGCTTATTTGCCATTTGTCTCTCTTCTTTGGAGACATTACTCTGGGTATCAGTCTCTTACCAGATAGGGGCTTTGCAAATATTTTCTTCCATTCTATGGGTTGTCTTTTCACTGTCTTGACAGGGTCTTTTGGTGCACAAAAGTTTTTAATTTTGATGCTCAGCTTTTTTTTTTTTTCTTCTTGTGTTGCTTATGCGTTTGGTATCAGATATATCACATAACTTTTAAGAAGAAAAATGTGGGGGCGCCTGGGTGGTTCAGTGGGTTAAGCGTCTGACTCTTGATCTCAGCTCAGATGATCTCAGGATCATGAGTTCAAGCCCCATGTTGGGCGTGGAGCCTATTAAAAAAACCCAAATGGTGGCAGACATTACCTTAGCCCAGTGACCAAACTCACCAAAAGATCAAACTCAAATGAGACAAACTAGCATCACATGCCCCTCATGGGATACTCTGAGAAGAAACAGGATCATTCCTGTCATATTTCTGCCCCAAAATGTCAAACCTGGATCTCATCATGAGGAAACAGCAGACAAACCCAAATTAAGGGACATTTTGCAATATAACTGAAGTGGACTCTTCAAACTGTTCATGTCTTGGGGTGCCTGGATGGCTCAGTCATTTAAGCTTCTGACTCTTGATTTGGGCTCAGGTCATGATCTCTTGGTGGTGGGATCGAGCCCCGCCTTGGATTCCACATTGAGGGAGAAGCCTGCATAAGATTCTCCCTCCTTCTTCCCCTGCCCCACCCCGTTCACTCTCTTTCTCTCTAAAATAAAATAAAATAAAATAAAATAAAATAAAATAAAATAAAATAA